GATTATATTGGTGTTAGGATTAACGTAGAGTATCCAAAAACTAAAATTATCACCCCGACTTCATCAAAGAAGAGAAATGGCTAAAAACATCAAAATATAAAACGATCTATTAACACGACACAAAAATAAAAGATTTAGATTTTTTTAAAATTATTGATTTTATAAATAAACTCAATACGTCACGATTAATATGAATCAAATATATATAAAATTAATCAAAAAAAATGCTATATTATTTATTTATATATTAGTTGTACAAAATTAATATGTGATACGAGCCAAAATAAGATAATTTGTTAGACAGAAATAAATAAATCAATCAAATATAAAAAATATATATTTTTTTTTAACCCGATCTGATCTTTTTAAGACCTGACACGAAACCCTCTAACTGTACACGGTTGACAGCACTAGAATAAATGAATAATGACAGGCCTCAGACTTTTGGTCCACCCGAAGGCTACTTTCGTCATTTCCCACATAAAAGGATACGGGAGTTGTGTGATCGTGTCGTGAGACAAGCCTGTGTCAATGTTTCAGGGTGTCTTTATTTCTTAGGATTTCATTCGACTACGGTATCGATCAAAGAGAAGTCGGTATCATACTATAAAATTAAATAGGTGTCGGCAATGTCAAGAGTCGGCAATGCTAGGAGTCGCGTTAGCTAGAGATTAAGACTTAACTTAAACTTGAGAGTGAACTTGCGTCAAAATTTTCAGTAAGATTTGACTACTTGATCAAAAAAAGCCGGTATCATACTTTTAAAATTTATTATACTTATAAAATTTAATAGGTGTTAGCAATGCCAAAAATCCTGTTAACTAGAGATTAAGACTTAACTTAAGTTTGAGGCTGAACTTGTGTAAGAACTTTTAGTAGGATTTGACTACGATATCGATCAAAAAAAGTTGATATTGATGATGCACAAATTAATTTTTGTGCATGATCAAAAATCAAGTATACGAACGAGTGTAATTAGTGAGCAATAATAGATAATCAATGACAATTAATGATTAAAACAGTAAATAAGGAGAAAATATAGAGGTTTATAGTGGTTCAGTCCGGATGACCTACTCCACTCCTGGGAACGGCTACAGTGGTCTGAAGTGTTTTATTAATGAACAGTATCACCGGGACTTTTCTTTGGACTTTCTCGATTTATTTTTATTAGACTTGACTCAGTAAAATTCAAGCTCATCAGATGTCATATTTTTAAAATTTATTATAATTATAAAATTTAATAGGTGTCAGAAATGCCAAGAGCCGGCAATGCCAAGAATCATGGTAGCTAGAGATTAACACTTAACTTAAGCTTGAGAGTGAATTTGCGTGAGAATTTTTAGTGCATAAAATTCAAAATTGGTACCTTAACTAGACATTTCAAATAAATCATAAATTTATATCCCAAATTAATTAATATGGACAAATTAATGAGTTTTATTGGAAAAAAAATTAGTAAAATTTAGTAGAATTTTGAAATTGCAGAATTGTTATAGCAAATAAGTAGTCACACGTACTCTTGAAGTTTGTGTAGTATTCAAATTCTCCCCCTCTCCTATAATATTACAACCTAAAAAAAAAACCAATATTTTTATTAAAAAATATAGTTACCATCTACGTTTTTTTTCATACGAGTTATTGTATTTTGATAAATAAATTTTAGAAAATGGTGTTTTTGAAAAAAATTAGAATGGCAAGTGTGATCAATTGATTACGTAAAAAGAAACGGATGAGTACCCACGTGGCACATTAGCCGGAGACTGCTTTTGCTATATGGCGCAAATTACGCTGCCGACAGATTATGAGGGGGGGGGGCGTTGTTGGTGTGGTTTGCGGAAAATGCTATGAATGGGACCCACCTTTATCTCGGCTGACAAGTCAGCATTGATTATTAAATTTGTTTTTGTCCTTTTTGGGGCAAATGGAGGCTGGTGTGGGGTCCCAATTGGCTGGAGCCGACATGTGTGGGATAAGAAAAATGGATCAGATTGGATGGCTTGGTAGGTTGGATTGAAAGAGAAAGACTCCAATCATACCATTGAATGGGGTGATCGAAACTCGTTTACTTCGTATTAGGTGGTGTCGATTAATTATGTTTGGTCGAATTTTAATAAATTTAATTAAAATATTGATCGAATTTCTTATTTAAAGTTAAACATTCAAGTCTTATAATTTACATTAAAATTTCGTAATTGTTTATTATACTAGCTTAATTAAGTTCATTCTCAAAAGATATAAATATAACGGGTGTAATTAAGAGTCTCATGATCCCAATAGTAGAATCTATCGAAATGGTCTCTGAACACTCTCTTTTACCCTCACTCCTTACCAATATTTTTGGATTCAATTATCAGAGTGTGACATTTTGCAAACATATTTATCAATAAATTATATTTTTAAATTTATTTATAAAATTACGATATATTTTTAAAAAACAGAGTTATTAAGTCTGCTTGCTAAAAACCAAAATTATTGACCTCACTTTAGTTAAAAAATAGGGTTAACATTTAACAACCCCCCCCCCCCCCCCCCCCCCGCGTTTATTAAATGTTCCAACAAACCTATAGAAACAGTCTCCAAATTATATCAAATTATATGAAGTACACAATTTGAAGTTAAAAATGAAATTGTTGATCCCGTTTCTTTAACAAAAAAAGCGTCAATAATCTTATTTTTTTAAAATATCATAATTTAATAAATAAGTTAAAAATTACGTAAACTAATAAATATGTTCATAAAATATCGCACTCTGATAATTGATTTAGTTTTCTGGGGCATTTGGATTCTCACTTTCAATTCTTTTTTTTTTTTGCTTAATTTGGTGAGCATATATAGTTAAATTATCGGATTATGAAATTTGGGTAATCTACAACGCTAAAAAAAATTGGTACTGTATCAAAAAATTATTACTTTTTAAGTTCAAGTTGAATCTTTTAAAGGTAAAATTATAATTGTTTAAAGTAATTCATGATGGGATCAACCAAAAATAATCCCTATCAGGTATGTTACAGTTATAACTCAGAAAATTATAATTCAACATTAAAATTGAAAGGTATTTATAACTCAATAGTATGATCTATTGTCAATCTAATGACAGTAAGTGATTATATCAACATATAAAATTTAAATAGTATTACTATGTATGTATACCCCTCTCGTAATAGTGAAATATAATTTATATAGTTGAATCCAAAAATATTAGAATAATATTTTGTTGAAGTGAGTAAAGTACTTATACTCTAGAAAAAACAATCGAATCAATCCCAATGAGTAGTTTAAATAATAACAAGCACGAGCTGTAAATTTTGACGTCTTGAGTTTAAATTTTATCAATCTTTTGAGTCAGACTATGAATAATTTATTCATCATAAATACACTAGTCCCAACGTGAATGACCTATCTTTAACTGGACCAAAGGGGGAATTAGTCAAAATGTGCATAAATTGGTCCAAATATCTCCTATAGTTAAACTTTAAAAAAAAAAAAAAAAAAAAAAGAGGGAAAGAAAACAATCGAATTTATTCACAAATGCTACAGCAATGTGGGGACTCAAAGGCCTCCATTTCACCATTTTGAAGGTCAATGTTCGTCAAAGTTTTTCCACTGCTTCATAATTACTAATTTTCAATTAATAACATTTTTTGCCAGTGGGTTTCATGAAATTACCCTTTAGCCTTGAATAAATTTACACACTTTGTTTTTCATCGTTTTTCCGACCGAATGGATTGGGTCGTTTCTGCCAATGAAATGAACGCGGAGCCTGTTCCGAATGCTTCTCCGACCGATCTTCCATGTACACCGCATGAGATATTGCTGGTTTTTTAAAAAATAATATGTAACAAATCATAAGAGATCTCACTCCAATTTAACTTAAGCATGACTTTTATTATTGGTTGGTCATATAAGATATCAACGATGACATAGCACTATAAAATTTTATTAGAAGAGTATTTCTTATGTAGAAAACTCAATTTCACATCAACTAAATTTTTAAAATTATTTGGGTATATATATGTGTGTGTGTGCGCGCGCGCGCGCGCTATAACTATTGAGTTAAGACATTGAGACTTTCACATGTACAAGAGTGAGACCAACGAATGAGATACTTGTTTCTAAAATTTTTGAAACACTCGTCTTAAGAGAAAGACCTAATCCGCGTCTCCCCCTACTGTAAGTAAACTTTATCTTCACAATGACAATCAAATTGTATTGATTCATATCTGCCACTAAAAATACGTCTTAAGAAAGAGATCTAATTTACATCTTAACCCACCATTCACTTTACTTTTACAATGAGAATCATTTTAAATGATTAATATTATATGGATTTAAAAATTAAACTTAAAAACTAGACTTGATAATTACAATTATTGATTTCACTGTAAATTACAGCATTTATTGGGATCTGCTACTTATTCAATAATTTTGATTATCAAGTCTAATTTTTAAGTTCATGTAACATTACTCGAATCAAATCGTATATGCACAGCGCGGGTCGCACTTTATTCATATCTACTACTGAATTTTATTTTATTTTTTAGAGAAAATAGAGAGAGGAGAAGTTCCCAAACCAGAGAAATTGGGAGCAATAACCTGTTTGAGTACAAACAGACATGAAAGATCAGCTCTTGAAATAAGGGAAGTAGGGAATTCTAATCAGCAAAGTGATCTCAAAAGAAACTTATTTCGCTTGAAAAACTGTTACAAAGGCAATTGCATATACTGTGAAGTCTGCCCCGATTACAAAAACTGGAGTTGATTTCATAGTACAAAGCTGATGAATACTATACAATTAACTTCTACAATGTTGCTGGATTTCGGGTCATTAAAATAAACGCCTCGAATCCCAACCTCAATATCCGAAAAATGCATGAAATTCAAACAGCCATATCTAGAGCCCTTTTACATGGATGAGACTGGCAACTAGATGAAACTTCTAACAATAGCTAAAACATGAAGGAAACTAGTTTCACCCATGTCCAACCTCGAACTGCTTGCATCTAAAAGTTGCAGCAGCGAGCCCGACCCCCCAACAAATTGTCCCACAGGCACAACATCTGTCTTGGGGATTGATAATGTGCAGTGTAGTAGTTCTCCATGCACCCATATTGACAAAACTTCCAGTTGTGGGAGTACTGGACCAATTGGGAGCTGTTGAATTGCTCAACCCACATTCCCATGCTCACATCCTCCATCTTGAATAGCTGCCAAAAAAACATTAGGTACTTTAAATAACCAAAACTTCACATCCTCCATGAAAAGATGAAAATAGGTGGTTTCTGGATTACAGACCCTCAGGCTTTGACTGACATGTTGAGAGACTATGTATTTGGCAATATCACTGGAAATTATATATCCCGGCCCATTGGCGTATGGAGGATATATGTCTTCTGGCCACTCCTGTTACGTTAGACAACATCCTTCAGATATATAAGGCGAGGAAACTCAGAACATGTATACAATTTTCGGTGTTAATTTTCCCTATCTAGTCACACAAGGGTGGAAACACGTGTTGCAGTAAGTATTCCAGCATACCAAAATAATTTACATCGAATTTTTCTACCTCATAAGTGACTGCCCATTTCCCACTTCTGAGAGGTCGATGCAAGATGTTGAGATTGCCCATATACAAGGAACTCGTAGTAGAGACGCCTTCAATTTCTTTCAAAATGGTATCCACCCTTATGAAAGTGTCATCATCACCTTTCATGATGTATGCAGCTGTTACATTTTGAACCTGCATAGAAAATGTTTAGGCTGCGTGACAGATAGAATCCAACTCATCCTAGGAGCCAATTTAATGGTTGGCCAGATAATTAACATTATTGAATTGAACCTACCCCAAACTCACAGATGGCAATAGTTTTAAGAACCACTAGCTCATAGCGATCCATAAATGACAAAATTACAATATCACCAAAGTAAGCAGCCTCCTCCTTCAAAACTGCATTCACCTCCTTTCTTGGATTCTGCATGTAGATCTTTTCAGATTAGTAGAAACCCCAGGTAGTAGAACATAGTAACATCAAAATCAAATATTAAGAAAATGACAGCAATAAGGAAGATCGAAAAAAATAAAACGCAATTATACACACTGCTGCTGCAGATGAGTTACATATACTACACACCACAATCAATGGGGTCTCTACATCGGTACATCCAAATAAATATAAGCACAATAAGTCAATCTGTTTTTCTAGGCCAGAAATGCATGCACACACAAGTTTCTATGCTTACATATAATATCATCAAAATATATACAGGAAGCTTCAAGAAAACTTTGGGTTCTGACACCAGAACCACTTGTGGTACGCCTTAGTTATAAAACACTTAGGATTGGGGTCCTGCAGAGTAGAAGAGAGGTATTTCAGGTTTGTAGATAGAAGAGGGATTAAATCGTTGATTAATAAAACATTTTGTGACATGCACTGGTGCACAACAGTATAGCAGAGTGCGTGGGTGGTTTCTGGATAGCAACAACGTTAGGATTTTGGTCTTGCATTAAAGACCAAAATGCCGGCAATGGATTTGAAAATGAACTGATACGGAAGAGTGTTGGTGCTAAAAGAGGCTATGATCAAGGGCTTTGAACAGTGCCTGAGAATAGTAATTGGTATCTTTCTTGATGGTTTTGTGTTCGTAGGTTAGGATATTGATGGAGAAAGTGAGCTAGGGGAAAGCAAGTGAAGCAATATGTGATACTTAGTGCAGTCTTGCTCTAGGAGGGTGCCTGTACCAAGTACTAAGGACCAAAATTTCGTTTCGAAAAGTCTGAAGCGTTTTCATTTTCGTGTCTAAGAAGACCAAAACGAATCAATAATTGAATTAAAATTCCCATATTTCGAGGTGTTTCATAATATTTTGAGGTGATTTAAGATGTTTCGGTATATTTCAACCAATATTTATAGATGTTGTGGAAATAAATTCTCAAAATTTTTTATCCGTTTCTATCCTATTTAAGAAACGTAACCGAAATATTTTCGAAACGTTTTCATCTCTTAGGTGATCGAAACAATGCAATAAAATAAAATTTTGATCCTTGACTAAATAGAAGGTGAAATTCCTAGTTTCTTTTATTCCTCTCATTTGTACACATCCAGGGTATGATGCACCTTGATAACCACCTGAAATTACATAATAATTACGGGTTGCATTCTCCTACTTCTAATAGGTACATAACTCCGAATAAGGAAACTTTGTCTGACTCTTGCATGTATGCTAGACATATTAAGTCCACATAATATGATAAATCAACTTAACCCAAAACCGCGACAAGTTATAACCTGCGAATTAAAACCCATAACCAGTAATTATTAGAACAATCAAAGTAATGGTAAGGGGCCCAGGAGCGCCCTGGCCCACCCTCAGATTTTCTAGAATTTTTTCATATATGTATTAGATATATATATTATACATTACTCAGATATATTCTATTGTGCCCACCCTATTACTTACATACTTCAATAGTATTGTTCTAATAATTGAGTTGCGATATGTACATGTTTGATCATCTTCATAGAATTAGAGCTTTCTTTACTTAGCCTTGATTTGCATATTTCCGATTTTTTTGTTTTATGTTCTCAAATTGATAGTGAAATTGTATGTATTTGGCAATTAATTGACCAAATAAATTAAAAGCCGGAGATTGGGAAAAATGGGTGAATGAATGAAATCGATGACTAGTAGCTTTTGATTGTATATATAAAGAGAATTTCTTCTCTATAGCATTGGCAATGAAGTTATAATGCAATGTTTTCAAATGTCCAAACTCAACAGGGTTAAGTGCAAAAGTTGTAATTAACTGCAGAGTTTTATAAAAAGTTATATTCAGTCCATTTTTCTATTTGTTTGTGTATTATCCATTTTAGACTTTTTGGGTTTATTGAATTTTTATGTATCAAATATGATGTAATAAACGAAAATGTAAAAAATATACGTAAACACTTTTTAGAAAAGGTGCTCACCCATAAGTAAGTTTTTGGCTCCACCCCTCAACCAAAGGACCATTGACCGAAAAAAGCTTATCAATGCAGAAGTACCTAATATTGAGAGCTCACTTCGACCCTAAACATTAGATAGTTCAAAATATGCTCTAAGAGAAATTCCTAAGCAGTCCTTTCTCTTGTTTGCATACTCCACAACAGAAATTCAAACATATCAACATCAGAATACATAGGAGGTTTACGACCCCAAAAGTGTTGGGACAAGACTGAATTGAGTTTAGGAGTTTTGGTCTATCCCTGGCATCCATCCATGTAAAAATTCCATATTTCAAGATTCAAGAACTTAGATATCTACACAACTTGTACTTTGGATTGTGCTACTAATGGGACGAATCATTATCTATTAAATACCCACAGAATACACACTTCATTTTTTTATTTTTTTTTCGGGGGGGAGGGGGCAGTAAGAGACAAAAGCCAAATAAGAGCTCAAAAAAGTTTGGGAAAATGGACACATTCAATTCCATTGCCTGAAATTAACTTTCTAAACAGATGATTGTTTTCAGAACACACTTCTTTCTGTATGTTGGTCACCGTAACTACATAAATAAAATGCAGGAAGCAGCGAAGACCATTACAATCATTAGAAGAGAAAACCAATTTTCTACTTTTTGGAAAACCTTTTCCTACAAAAGAACACTTCAACAAAAAAACTCTTGGCCAAATTACAGCAAAAGAAGAAAACCTTGTAAGATCCTTGACCTAGTTACAGCAAAAACAGAAAACTGATCAAGATTCAAGACATGAACTAAAGATACCCCCCCCCCCCACCCCTCTCTTCCTTCTTTCTTTCAAAATATGGGTATTTAGTTTGGAGGTGAGTAAGAACTAATTAACTACCTTCTTATGGAAGCAAAGCTGCAAAGGGTACAGTTCTTTTTACTGAAGCGAGCTTCTGGCCTCTATGATGTGCATGAATCATATCTACACTAATAGTTCAAGTAAAGCTCTCAAATGCCAAATTCGAAGCGTCTTACACCAGGAATTGCAGTGTTTACAACTCAAATTTTTATTTGCTTTGAACCACTAGCTCACGGGGAGGATACATATAGCATATCTTAACTTCTATCAGAATGCAATATTGAGAACTTCAATCATCATTTGACTGCCTCACAGAAACAAGACAGATGGCATGTCCTTAAACCCCAACCTAACCTAACAGCGAAAAATAGGTCTTACGAAATACCTTCCTAACGCAAACTCATCAGATTCCAGTATGTAATCACTGTGGCTTCTCAAAGGCTGCTGGTAACTCATCCAAAAGTGATGCATCCCAACAAATTTGATGCCACTGATCCATCCAACCACTTCAGCATCAAAGAATTCCCATAATCATCTAAGATTTTTAAAATGTTCTAATCTATTTCATGTCCTCTTTGCCATTCCTCTCTTTCTTTTATTAACTTCAATCCACATTAGACTCTGAAATTATTGCCTAATGTCGAGTATTTGTCTGTTTTATTTCTTTATGATTTGATTGAAATGCTAGAGCCACATAACAATCAATACACAAAATATAGGCTTTACCCAACTAGCATTATTCAACAGCCAACTACCCCCCCCCCAAAAAAAAAAAAAACAAACGAAACTAAATCAACTTACCCAAAATTGCTAGAACTAGAAAATAAATGGGAACAGCTCTGAAAATGTGCCATTAATCTTAACCTTTTTCTGGTCTTACTAAAGGTTGGTCCCATGCAATATCTTCTGTGTCATTCTAAAAGTACAGTCCAAGGCATCCACTTAAATGGTAGTTCCATATATAACCCCCTGAGTGCCATCCACTAATGCCGCATCACCTGCAAACAGCACATCAAAGACATCTCTATTGCATAGGAGCAACCAAAAAAAGCAAACAGGTCTGCTAGGATTATTAAATGAATGACTTCTCCAACTGAAACTCACAAACCATAGAGAAACTCCATCCTATACCAGAATTTCATCATTTCTTCAATATCCTCAGCACAAAGATATGATTTATGGTTAATCAATAAGTTGCCAAGTAGGGGGCCATTGGTAGGTGAACAATAAATTGTTGGGCTAACCACTGTGAAGGTGTGTATTCTAGTCTGAGGGCAACCATTTTGTACAACTAGTGCCAAAGATGAGGTATGTACACAGCCCACACGCTAAGACATCGTTGATTAACAGGACCAAACTAGGTAGTGACCCCTTAAGAAGTTACCAAGTCCCTTCCTAGTTTTATCTTTATATCATCACCCTCATAAAAACACAACAGTAGCCTATAGCCAGCAATTCCAAGTATTTCCTGCAATATGATTTTATCATAAATTGAACCAAGAACCTACTCTGCCTCCATCTTTGCCAAAACATTCATTCAGTCAAACAAAAAAACAATCAATCATTTACCCAAAGAAATAACAATCAACATAAAATGATATTTACTTTATTTGTATTCAAACCACCAACGCAATCTTCATAAGCCTTTTTGTTCCATCTTGCCTCAACTTTTCGGCCCTCATTCATGTCCCCCGAGGTCAACCCTCGGCTCAGATCTCAACAATCTCTCCCTAAGTTGGCTATTTTGAAGCACGCTCGAATTGTAGTTTCGCAATTAGATCATAGAACAAGGGCTCTACGGTTCTATCACAGAACCTATGATGTACGATGAACAAGAGATGCATCTCTTTACATAGAACAAGAGATGTCTGCATTTCATATGCTGGTACAGGGGTTTTGAACACTACCCAAGAAAAGCATTTTGGGTTGGGTTGAGTGCTTCAGGTGGGCTCTCAAAACAATAAGTGGAAGGGTGGTAACTTGTTGCTTGGCTGGGTTTTTAAGAGCTAAATATGGTAATTCAGTTAAAGTTTGGGAATTCAAAGGACTTAGGAAGATGAGAAGAAAGGAAAGTAAATAAGAAAGCCTAGGAGTCACGCCTAGATTCTTAGGCCTCACACCAAAGAGGAAGGGGGAAACCTAAGCCTCACGCTTATGGTGCTTGAACAACATACCCAACAGACAACTCCCCCACTCTACCCAAACACACTTACTCAAAATTGCTAGAACTTGGAAACAAATAGCAATAGCTCCAACAAATGCCAGTCGTTAGTCTTAACCTATATGGTCTCACTAAAGTTCAATACCATCCTATAGTTTCTGCATCATCTTTAAAAACTACAATCCATGTCATCCGCTTCTATTGTTGCACCATTTGGCAGGTGCAACAATAGAAGTGTTGAGCTAACAAGTGTGGAGTTGTGCATTCCAATCTCAGGGAACCATTTTTGTACCAAAAAACAAAGATGAGGTATGTAGGCAGCCCACAATGGGTAATGACCCTTTAATAAGTTACCAAGTTCCTTCGTTGTCTACTTGTCTTTGTCTTTTCATCACCCTTGTTAAAATACCTGAGTTGACTTCAATTGAATAATAAGTCTGAGACTTCATTTTCTTTAAAAAAGAAGTCCTGAGAAGCATAGCCAGGTCGTAATGGCCATATTTCTGGTTGAACAACTCTCTGGAATATAACCAGTCATTTCAAGCATGTCTTCATTATGATTTCACCATAAATTGATTATTGAGCTAAGAAGCTTTTATCTTCATTTTTGTCAAAGCTACTTTCACCCAAAAGGGCCAAAACAATGCATTATAATAGAGAAGACCGTAATTTGTGTCCAAAAGTATTATGTGATCAAGTTTGATTAAGACATCAATAACTCTTTTGACAATTGACCTTACTAAACCTGCTAAATGCCTACAACACCCCCCCCCCCTCTCCCACACCCCCAACCCCACCCCGACACACAAAAGAAAAAGGAAGGAAGATACAGAACCCATACAGAGATTCCACTCTGCAGCACAAAATAACCTCAACATAAAACTAAACTAAAAAAGATTCTAGCTAGTAATATGCACTTTAAGATATAACAAAACTTCAGGAAATCAGCTCAGTCAAAGTTCTATTTCCTATGAAGTTCGTCTTCCTTGAATGTTCTATGACATGGTCAAACTGGAACCAAGAACTTCTCTTAACGAAATTAATATCCATGTTTTGAAGAATTAGAAAATTATTAGTCTTGCCTTCTATTGCATACATCCGTCTCTCTCCGAGTTACACTATAAAAGTATAAAAATTACTATTTTAAAGAAAATAATGCAGAACCATACCAGTGCAACAAAGAAACGGACTACTACATTTGAGGACTTGATTGCTGCAGACTGCATCCATGTTTTTCTAACTGCCATGCGTTCCGCAAAGTGATTGGTAGCAGAGAGAACCCCGATAAAAAGTTGAATAGGACTTGTTGGCAAAGGACAAGATTTCCACTCCTCAGACATCTCTAACACTCTCTGAGGTGAAAAACTTCGATGAGAGGTTGGCAAAGAGGTAGCATAAATGGAATGGACATCCACATCACCTTTAACTGCCAATCCTGTTGCATCTTCAAGACTAAATCCCTGTAGCAATGCTAAAAATTTGTTCAAAGGAGCATTTTCATGCTTATAGCAGCAAATAATATATAACAGATAATGATGAACCATACATTTCTTTACAACTGCACCCCAAAGTATGTAACTCAGAAGAACTGAGAAGGCCATGCAGAAATGAAAAATGGGATAAAATAACTACAAAGGAAAGAAACTAAATAGAATCCCTCAAAAAGTCACATTAGAAGGACGTTCTTCTTTGTTGCCAAAAAAGACATCAAGAACATCATCAAAAAGTACAAAAGGTTTTTCTTTTCTTTTTTTTCTCACACCTACATTAAGCACCTGGCCTTAGCAATGTGATCTATGAAAGTACATAAAATTAGATGGTCAGATCATTTGATGGTTTTTATGCATTGGATGGTCACAAAGGCACTACACAGACTCCTAGATACGACTATCAATAGAGCTGTCAAAAAGGAAAAACCACACAATGTTTCCAATTTGCAAGTAACATACCATTCTATATGGGAATGAAGTCACATGCCGACCCCCAACATTTAGATGGTATCCATCAATACCAGCACGAAGAGTTAGAACAAACATTCTGTCCTCCACAAAAGGAAACGGCCATGTGACTTCAGGTTTCTTTGCACGCCCTATGAATCGCTCAAACCACGAAGTTGTCTTGGACTCTCTTGAATCCACTATATCATTCCGCATCCACTTTTCACATCTCAAATATCCATCAACTGCTGAAGACAATGTGTTAGATATCTGATAAAAGTCAGTTGGTGTAAAGTAGTGCCAAGAGGAAAAAAGAAAATCTAAGTTCAACAAAGTACATCATAAACAACACATGGAAAAAAAGAATCAGCATTTCTAACTAGGCACAAAATTGACCATCCTTCCTGAACACAACATAAACATAATAAACCATAAAATAATCCGACCAATTCAGATAAGGCATCATATCTATGAGCAACGAACCGATAATACACGAAATCAACAAAATTTGGCAAAATCCAAGGGAAGACTAACCTTTGATGAATGTTATATATTTCAAGTTTATACTATTTTACAATCGGCACACAAACCGATCTAGGTAAATTGCCATTGGTATATAAATAAGTTTGGGGTATTACAAGGGGTATCCCAAGGTCTATGAGCTAAGAAGGGCGAACATAGGACACAGATTTGAAACGACACAAACATACAGGCATGACATTTCTCAAAAAATTATAACACAGACACATTGGGGCAGCACTACAGATAATTGTGTTTTATGTATAAAATTATATTATTTATTGCAAAAAACACGATAATGATATATTATTCATAAAAAATTTAGTATTTTATGATAAGTTATGTTACATCTAGTCGTCTAGTTAGACTAATATCATCATAGTCAATAATCATCAATTCTTTCGTACAAGCGTACTGATCATATTTAATTTAAATGATTTTTCTCATCTTCTTAATTCCTCTTTTCTGAATCTTTTACATATCTTTTGTTCTTTTTTTTTCCTTTTATTCTGAGTACAAATTTAACATGGCTTGTCTTGGTAATTATATATTCTCTCATAGTATAAGATAATTTTTAATCAAATTTTTAAGCTTTGTTATTTACATATCAACACATGTTTATTGTTTAGTAATAGACACGATCTAAAAATATGTCAAAAATGTCACTAAAGAAGTGTCAGACACATGTCTGAAATTAAAATTTTATCATTTAATTATTTACACGGATAAAAAAGTATTGAACATGTGTCTGAGAGTGTCCAAGGAGGTCAGTGTCTGACACGTGTCCGACACGAATACAATACAGTGTTCGTGTTTCTTAGTCTATGAGACAAGCAAACAAATAGACAAAACATAACCCCATTTAATCCATGCTATGGTCAAAGTCCATGAGATAGACATGCATCCGATTCCGACTCCAAACTACTATAATTCCGCCTTGTCGGACGTGAAGAGAGGCAAAGAGGTGTTTCAGAAATAAACGCAATTCAAAAAAATAAAAAAAAAATACCATCAGAAATTTGTCAAATGTTTATCACAACAAATATATATATATATATATATATATATATATATATATATTTATTTATTTATATATTTGATTGAGTGGACACACATATAATATAATAGAGAGTTCCTGTCTAAGACCATCACAGGTGAGAACTTCAATCAGAGTTCTCAATCACGGGTGAGTACTTCAATTTGAGACCTCAATCGCACGTGAGAGCTTCAATTCAAGTTTTTAGGGTACAAAAATTTGCTCATCGAAATTTGGGATTTGGTTCGTTGAGATCTAAGATCTGCTCGTCGAGAGAGAGGGGGGGGGCAAGTCATCGTCGACTGAGATAAAGATAGACGAATGGGATGCTCGTCATCAATTGTAATAGAGAGAGATGAAATGAAATGTGGAGTGGGCTTAGGGTTTAGCTGGAGTAGATAAGATAGGGTCTTTAGACTAGTATAATATAATATATAATTTGTATAAACTTATTAATTAATAAAAGTCGGAGTCAGAGTTTTTCAGAAGGACTTCAAACTCCAAATCGGAGTTTGAGTTTCCCTCCGACTCCAGAGGCAGAGCTAGACCAAAGCCGGATTTTTGAATTCTTGCACACACCCAGGCCCATCATTTTCCACTAAAAGTCTGCATGCTACTTGCCCACATTTCAAGCCTAGAACACTGATCTTTTCATGTGGTGGCATGCAGGGCACAATTGGGATTTTGGGGAACAATTTAGGTTAGGGAACTCAAATTATAAGTATTTCTGTTTTTTCTCGGCATTTTCTTTAATATTATTATTATTAGCTAGAGGCGTTTTATAAGATCTGAGCCTGTTTTGAACCTTTGGGCGCTTAAGGCCTGTTAGTATGCATTAAGAGAGACTACACTTAAAGAAATGAGTTTCAAGAAAAATGAGCCTCCTTGTTGTGCAGCATTGCAATTCTACCCATACATTCTTCAAAGCAAGCCAGAAGGCCCAAAACTCACAAAACTCACATCACGCCATGAAATTAGGTCTATGACTTGACTACCCTAAGGGAAGTCCCCTCTCTAGAATCAAATCCTAAAAATCTCTAGAAAAAATCTTAATTTGAGAATTTCTTCCCACAATATTTTACATCCTTTTTCACCCCCACCCCCACCCCCTGACACACACACCATACAACTGTAGCTAGATTTCACAACTAAATAGAACTTTGAATTGGTAATCATAGCTACATTATAGGGAGAGAATCCATGTATTAGATTACTTCGTTATTTGTTGAGCAATGCAAACCAAAAAGCTAGGCAACATAGTGCCCTTTTTAGTGCCAAAAAAAAAAAGTTGAAATACAAGGAAAAATAAAACCAAAAGTAAAATTAGAACCTTACCAAGCGTGTCATCATCATTCTTAGATGGTGAACCATCACACCTTTGAGCTGCCCCCCATTGCATCCTATAGCAGGTATTATGCTCAATTACAGGTCGATGGCTCCAATCTCCTCTCAATCGAGGATTCAGATGCAGAATCTTTGGTGGATCCTCCCCAACCACAGACTTCAACCCTTGCAATTCAACCATAAACTGCGACACTAAAACCAAGGGATCACCTTTCCTCAATTTGGCAAGCTGAGGCACATACTCCTGATGAGCATGATGGGGTGTTCCCACCACCGTAATTGAAGAACCTGCAGCAAGTCCACAAGGAAGGAACATAAGATGGTCTGCCCTATCCAATTCTTCTCCATCCATTGATACCCATGAAGGACATGACTCGGGCTTCCCCTCAAAAATGGAACTCATTGTAATCTCCTTTTCATCATATTTATTCACGTCTTCCCACGCCTTCAAGCCTAATGTCCAAGCCTCGTCCGCCATTCTCTCCATTACTGACAAGTCACTAGTCTTATTCCTTCTCCTCATAATCTCACCCGTTATCCGACCATAATGATGCTGAAGAGGTTTGATGGACCGCAACCCTCCTTTTTTCTCTTCTAATGCTTCTTCTCGGGGCATCAATGGCGCATTTTGGTTTTCACTATCCAAAGATCTCCTGGGATATGTATCCTTATAAAAAGAACCTAAAATTGTTTTGCTTAATTCTCCATCTTCGTCATCCCCAACTGAGGATTCGTCCATCCTCACATTTGTATCATCGCCAGTTAAAGCAGTTGCAATCTCAAAAAATTCGGGGAACTTGACGCAAATAAAGATCAAGTAAAATGCAGCTAAACCCAACAAAACATGTGACAATTTGAACCTCCTTACACCAGGAAGTTCACTTTTCACCCTCTTCATCTCTAAAAACCCAACAGACAAACAAAAAATTTTAAAAAGTTACAGAAACCACTTCAACCCATTCCTCACAAAGACCATAATTATCGCATAAAAACAGAACCCAACAAAATAATAACTGTATGACCCTACCTCAAGTCTTCAAACAAAACCGCCTTTATATATCAACATAAATCAATGTTCAACAACATTCTTAAAAATAACCCAAATGCTATATCATCCAAAAATGTGTTTCTTACTAAGCATAAAAGAGAGTACTCAAACTTTCTTGTGGCCAAAAAGAACAGCTTACCGATATCAACCAAAACTGCCACAGTTCAACAACACATTCTACTCAAAATCATCTTATACCCACAAATCAAGATCGTATTTTGGTGAAAAATCATTCCCCAAAACCTAATTCACCGGCATTGCACCAGTATCATCAGCATTTTCCAGAAACACAATCACAGCATGAACAAACCCTACCTTTTTTTAATATATCCGAACACAAACAAAATCAAAGAAAAATCAAAAGACAACACAAGTCTATACTGGAGATCAAACAGAAGATCTTTAGGCAGAGACCCAATTCCGAAAACCACTAGGTTTTGATGAAGAAAATGTCAAAAATATATTGATTTCCACGTGAGTACCTGGCTTCAAAGAAAAATAACTGAAAATTTTGGTACTCAAACGTGAAAGAAAAGTTGTACATTATTGGTCGAAGACGAAGTAGAATTAAATACAATACTGGACAAACGGATGTTCCTTTTTTGGATAATTTCATCTACGCCCCCTGTAAATTGCCCTATCTTCAAGTAACCCCTTATATATTATCTGAAACTTCACTGCACTCCCCCTTAATTTATATGTTCATGCCAGTCACATCCCGGGCGTGAATCAACGTTATTACCTATAGTACCCTTACACAAGACCGTGACACACGCACCCATAAGAAACCTCACCAATGACTCACTTATAATATACACCCAATTCCCACTAAGAATATACCACCTTCACCACGACCTTCATCCATTCAACTGTTATATCACTATATTGTTACCAAAATGCTGCAGTACTTCTCTATGTCTATTTATATAAAAACAAGTAAAGTCAAATCTATAATCTATTATTATTATAATATAGTTGTCAGATTAGATTTTATTGTCAAATATATGTAATATTTAATTTTTTTAGCATGTAATAACATTAATATAAACATTTTTTTTTAATTTAATCAATCGCTTTGATAAAAAATAAAATATATTTAGACGTATAATACTCAATAATAAAAATCTTACAATAAAACTCCAATATGAATAAAAGAGAAAATGCCTAAAAAAGTTAGAGATATATCTAAAAACGACATATTAGGTACTCAAAGAAGAGTAAAGCAAATTGCTAATTAGGTTGGTCAAATATATAATATATAGGTAAATATTTTAGTTTTGCAAGGATAAATTAGTAAAAGAATCACTTCCGTTACTTTTATTTGGAGACAAACTCTGGTAAGGGATGTCAATAAAGTTTCAGATAATATAAAAAATCTCTATAAAAAATATAATATTTTAGAGGGGTGCGATTAAAATTTTTCCTCCTTTTTTTCCGCGTTTTCTTCTTGGTGAGAAGTGACAACTCTAGATCTATGTTGGTGAACTTAGACGTCAACTTTGTAACTGTAGTACCACCAAAGGGCTAAACTTACCCCTTCAATACTCATATCACATGATAGTACTTTAGTTTCGGTCCTGCGGTGAAATTGTATAATGAAACTTGATTTTTGTTTTTTGTTTTTTGTTTTATGCGAATCCGACATTAAGATTTATTGGAACGTGATTGTTTTTAAGATCATTTTCGATTCTAAACTTTTTTTTTAGTTAATCTCGATAAAAATTTTAAGCGCCATAATAATTTTTTTCAAAGCGAGATCATTGCTAACGTGACATATAGATTATTTATTCTTATTTATATTATTCTTTTGTATTTTCTCTAATAATTTTGGGGCTAAATTACACTCATTGTCACTACGGTTTAACACTACTTAAACTTTAGACCCTGAACTTTTAATTTTATTAATTTAATCCTCAAAATTTCAATATTAAATAAAATTAATTCCTTGCACCAAGTGTCATTAAAATTAATGGCGGAAAATCGTCGCTTGCGAAGCATGTGACCATTAATAAGGGCAATCAAGTCATTGTCTACTCTAAAAAGAAAATAAATTATCATTTAATATAATACGTGTACAATTTTATTATTATATGTATTAAAATACCTTTCTCTCCACATTCTCTTTGAATCTAATTAGTCTAAATATCTATATCTATATTTATATTTATATCTTCACTATTTCTAAATGTCAAGAAGTACAAAAAAAATTTGATTTTCTTTTATACCGTTAAATAATGCAACTATGACATTTTTATCATTCGTCTAACTACTACTTCGACTGATGTAATTTTGTATTTGATGGTTTTAATGGATTGTGAAAAAAATATTGAAATTTTAACAACCAAGAACCTCTAACCGCTCTCATTTAGAAGATGAAGGGGACCTTTATGGAATTGTTGAATAGTATCTTTCATTTGAATGACCCTCCACCCCTAGAGAGCAACATTTACAATCATGGTATTCCTTTTTCTTCCTTGGGAATGGTGAGTTTGTAATTTTCTTCTGGGTGCAATTGCAAGATCCTCATAATTATTATTAGATATTGAAATGGACATACCTCTAATCGGGGATTTGGAGCTATTTCCGTCTGGTTTGCGGGCCCGGTGATGTTTTGGGGCTTAAAGCGGAAATGATAAATGAGGTCTTTAAATTTTAATATTTATAATGAATTTAATTTTTATTTTTTTTAAATATAAAAAATATTAATTAAATTTTTATTTTCAAATTTTTGTTATCATATTTGAACTAGATGGTAAGTGATTAAAAAAATTATTAAAAAATTATGATAGTAAATTTAACTTGATTTTTTTGGGGTTCAAATTAGATTCTTTAATAGTTTTTGTTTTACCGTTAGTTTTTTTTTAAATAAATTTTATGCCCTTTTAATTTCACAGCTGAATTAATAGATTCAATCTACTTAAGGTGAAATTTTTTGTTTGGACATGAATTTAAATTTTTTGTTAGACTATTACTACACATTACAAATAATGGGGGCTTCCTTTAAGTGAGGTCTTAAGCTTTTTTTGATTGGGTTTGTGTTTTTATAGAGTCTTTTTGTAGGGCTTAAAGTATTTATGAATTTCATTTTAGAAAATTTAGAGGTCAATCCCTTTTTGTGGACTTATTTAGTGATAAGTCCATCGAGGAAACTTGTTTAATATTAAATTCATTTTGATCTTCATTGTCTAAAATATCCCAGTAGTTATATTTAACTAAAACAAATTTAAAAACTAACAACTCTTAAATTTTAAGAGTTTAAATAACATTAAAATTATTTCTCTCATATCTATCTATATTTGAATAATAAAGTAGAGCTGACTTTGAATTTTAGAGACAAATAACAATTGAGATCGTTTTGTGATAAAAAAGGCATCATTCAATAGACGACGATATCTCAAATTATCTTAAGCTATTGACGTTTCAGATCATTTCGATCCGACGCACCACATTAACTCTTAAAATATTTTTACCGTTCAAAATTTTTAGTTTCCAAAATTAACACCAATAGATTGAATTCGTCTTTCAATCTCGCCCAAAATCAATATCATCTAAATCTAAAATTTTGTCTAAATTTAAAATTCTAAAATTATTGTCCATATTTAAATTTTGACCCCCTCTCACGCTGCTCTAAAAAATATCCTTTCCATACCAAATAAATCACTTTTCCATAACAATTTCAATTTTTGAATCCCTCGTCTTCCCATCACAGCGTGAGAATATCTCTTTATATGATGATGATATTATATCATCTATCTCCGCTTTATTTTGCCACTTGCATCTATCTTGATATTTTCATCCAATTATTTATGATATCTCCTTTCTCCCTCGCCTTCCCCTTTTCTCCCCTTTCTGATATCTTGATATTTTCATCCAATTGTTTCTCTTCTCTTTTTTTTCTCTCTTCACTGCGATTCTATAGAGGCACCAACAGAGACGCAATGATCCACCATTGATGATCTTGAAAAGCTCACCCAAGTATCCCTCATCTCTCTCTATGCGTATGTCTCCCCCCTACCGCAACCACCCCTTCCTTCCCTCCTTCCTCTGCCACCGAAACTCATACTAGTCCACCGAACACCCTATATTTCCAAAGTCAAACTCTTACCTGCAACCAACCAACACCTTTACCCCCTTTTCTCCCCGCCAATGCCACCAAAACCTCCCCTACCAACCAACGCCTTCCCAAACCCCACACGCACACACACATTACTAGCGAAACCCACCACAGTCATTGAAATACAAAGTTTTTGTATTATTGCTTCAATAAGCTGGCCAACGTTACCCTTCAATTTTTTTAGTGAAATTAATTTGTATGATGCCAATCTTTATATTTTTTGATTGAATTTTACGACGTGCACCGACCATCTATAGTATGACGGTGCAACTTCAGCGATTATCAATAACACAACTCTAGCGGGATGATGATCTTCTAAAAAAGTGATTTGTTGGTTTGAGTTTGATATTTTTTGAGTTTTATATATTTTTAGGTTATTTACAATATTTTTCTGTACGTTTTAGAATATGAGGACCTGAAATTGGTTCAGGCTAAGTGGTCATCTATAAACAAAGATGAGTTCATCTATTTTTGATGTTTGTTTTGTCTAAAAGTTACAAATAATTCTAAAAGAACCAAGGAGCCCTTTTGATCAAGAGCTAAGTTTTTTGTTTTTTCAGCACATTTTTTGAATGGTTTGCATCAAAAGAAAACAAAAATGACAAGAACCGCTGCGAGGCATATGCACGATGTTTAATGAATTCTTCATACTTCTATTCAAGGTTCTTTAGGTCGGTATACAAAATCGAATAAGAAAAAAAAAAAGCATCGATGCAAAACCTTAATAAGATAAAAAAGAACAAATAATCTAAAAGCATATATATATATATACACACATATATAAATTATAAATAAAAAAATTATTAAACTTGACAAGGAAATAAAAACATACCTAAAAAAATAAAAATTCATATAATAGATATGAAATCAAACATAGAATTAAATTGAGAAATAATACAAACATATATTTCACTAAAAAAATTCATATTGAAAAAATATTTTTGTGAGTACATGAGATAAGATAAAAAATAAAATTCTACTTATGACAAAATATAAATTGGGTTTACTTATTAAAAGGAGTGTATGTAGCATGAAGTGTGTTTAATTACTAATAGGGTGGGTTTAGAAGGAGTGAGCTTAATGGTTTAATAATGAGAATTTAAATGTGATGAGAATAAATATGTGTGGGGTGGGGGTAGCCCCATCCAATAATTTTAGATATATCAAAAGTAATGGACAATAATTAATGAATAGAAAATTCTTGTAAATGCTAAGATATTTGAATTTTGTTTGACTCAATTACACATATAATTTGTCTAATTTTCATTGAGCAATACTATTAAAACCTAATTCAATGACTTAATATATTTTTATTATTAAATTAGCAATAGGTCCTAGCATTAATCAAAGTTTAGTAGCAACTTAAAAATTATATATTAAATCATAGAGTCAAATTTCTTTAATATAATTTCTCTCAATTTTCATTATTAGTGAATCAATAATACATTCAAGTGAGACTCATTATATATAAATTAATTTTTTATTTATTTATGGTCGATGATCTACAAAAACAAATATTAGATGAAATGCTAATTCTTAAATCACATATGTAATTGAATATAAGGTTAATATCACTTTTAGTCCTTAAAAGTATGCATATTTTGTTAATTTATTTTACAAAGTATTAATTTTAATAATTCGATCTATAAAGTATTCGATTCATGTTTAAATGGTTCCTATAGACAAACCGTTAAATTTTTAACAAAATGATCACGTGTTGGGTATGTGACACCGTTTGAAAGAATGACACGTGGTCATTTCTGAAAAAGAAATTTAACGAATTGTCTGATTAAGGACAAAAGTGATAATAATTAAAATTTTAGAGATCAAATCAATAAAATTAATAATTTAGAGACAAAACTGATAAAATATGCATACTTTAAGGATTAAAATGCTATTAACCCTAAATATAAATAGCCTAAATTTGCGCTCATGTACACTACTGTGGGTGGTAAATAGATGACCCGCAGCGACTCGAGTCATAATTGGACCCGTATCGGCTTTATCTTCTTTGCCCAACCTTCTTTTCCGAACTGGTTCTTGTCCCATCCTTAAACCCTGAAACTTCCATTTCACGTTCATTCTCCCCTTATCCGATTTTGGTACCAATAGTTCTCACACCCATATGGATTATCCGCAAAATCTTTAGTGGGTCATCAGAGTTTTTGTCAGAAATGGCTACTGTGCGACCTACTTGGTTTTATCAAGGTTATATGAGTCTATGTATGTGTGGGTGTGTGTTAATGTATACTAGTGTTTTCGTTATAAGTTTAAATTTCATTTTGTGTTGCAGATTGTGCATTTAAAAGGGTGGTTCCTAGAGATGGATTGATAGCTAAGAAATTATGCGGCCACCATTTGCAGGTTTGTTTCAAACTTTCAATTGTTTATGCATTCATAATTTCATATATGCTAGTCTGTTTGTGTTTTACTTGTAGAGTCATTTTGTGGATTGCAAGAATTTTTTGTATGCCTATCTGTAGTTTCTGAGTTATTGCTTCGGTTATGTACTTGTTTTTCATTCTCTGGTGATTTTACTGCCCTTTTGTGAAAATTTAGATCAAGATTAGTGGAAGGAATTGTGGGTTGCCACCGGTATGAATTTTAAAATATGAGGTAGCTTATGATTGGGTTTCACTGATCACAATGCAATATAAGAATGGTAGACAACACCACAAGAGGTGGAGAGAATGGAGGAAAGCTTGGAATTAATTTGGAAGAAACCATGTTTGAGGTGGAGTCCCTCTTTGCACTTTCGAGAAACAGAGGTTAATACACATCCGGTGTGGGATACCATGACACTGCTGATGAAACTACCCAAGACTTTCCCCTTTTCCCTTTTGTTAATGTTGCCTCTTGTGGAGAGTTGGTTTGCTGTAAAGGAGAGCATGCAATCAAGCATACTCATCATTCATCGACTCTTTCCATTTAAGTCACTACATCCACAGTTTCTTAATGGTTGCCTTGTATATTGATTATTGAGACTCCTGCATCAAGGGACCTGATTATTACTTGCTGGGTTTTACTTAAATAAGAAACAGTTGAAGATCTTAATGAATCTTTTGTTGTCATTGGACTTGTATCGTTGCCTACACTGGTTTGGTGGTGTATCTGTTAAACATCTCAAGTGGTTCAAATGCTTTCAATATTTAGAATCCATGCCACATGAACAAGATTATCACCATCTTTTTTTCTGTTGAAACATGTTATGATCAGAGTGAACAACAACTTTTGGATGACTCCTGCTGAATCTAGGATAGGATGAAACGAGTTATAAGGATGTTCCTATAACAAGTGAGAACATTTTGGGAAGCAATAGAGAAGTAAGCCCATGCTATCAAAAGAACAGAGGACTAACCCATGCTCGAATTGCAGTCATGTTTGGACTATTATCCTCGTACATTAAATTATTTGTCTGCTCAAGCCTCAAAGGCCTTGAACAAAGAACTTGGCTGTAAATTTTTTGTTAGTTGTAGCATTCATAATAGTCTTTCATTTGTTCTTTCTTTCCATTTCCCCCTAGAGGCTATTAAATCATTCACAATGTTGTATATCGAACTCTTTGTTTCCAAACCATCTAGTGTATTGTATATGTAACATTTTAATTTACTGAAACTCATATGGTAGAACACATAATGCTTGCAGAAAATATTTTTGCCAAAACTGCTACAACACAATTGTTAACTGCTGGCATCCAAAATTTCTTTGGAGGTTTTTGTTGCTGAATATATATAACTCAGGCATATACTAATAAGATTTTCAAAAATTTGAAATTATAGTGTTTGAATTTATGTTGATTATACTTTTCTTTTTTGCTGAATTTTGTTGAAAAATTGGTCATTTTAGGATTAATTTCTAAGTTTTTAGGTTCTTGCTTGTGCAATTTTTTGCTGAGAAAATGAGATCGACTTTGGCTTGAATGATTGCAGCATTTTGTTGAGCCAAGCTTCAGCAAGAATCTGAGGTTGAGAGTCGAGCTTGGCCAATCACGACTAAGTTTAATTTGAGCATAGTCAAAGTGGACAAACTTAACTCGATTAACACCCCTCCCTACTATAAAATTGTTGAAGGCCCGTAAGTGCTGGAAACTTGGTTTTTCTATTGCTAAAACTAGCACACAACCTTTATTTTGAAAAAAAACTTTTCGTACATGTTTTAGTTGATGCCCAAGATTAGCAACAGGTCTAGTGTTACATGATTAAGGCATTTATCAACAACTTGTAGGCAATATAAAATTCTAAGTACCACGTTGGAATGGGGATATTGTAGGTAAGTAGGAATGCCTGTTTATCGTAACCTTCATATTTATTTAATAATTTGCCACTTCCCATTGAGAAGAAAGGTCTATGCCAACCAAAGAATTGTGTAGCTTACTGGATCCATTTTTAACGCGATCTAACTTTTGCGTTTTTTGGCAGAAAGTAGCTGCACTTTTGGATTCAAATAGGGTTCTCATGCTTGACTTCCCGACCTTTTTACCATTTGACTAATGACACTTTAGAGGAAGAATTCTCCTAATTTAGTTTTTTAACTCGACATGTGCCATATAAGTCAAAGCCAAAAGGCACCTTTGGATTCAACCACTGTGGCATGGTTACCACCTCCATCATGAAGCTTATATTCACGTGACAAAATTTTTTTACTTTTGAATGAAGACACAATTTATGCATTTTTTGGGCAATAATGTTTTTTATTTTTTATGCTACGTTTCCAAGAGACAATATATCCTTTCGAGGCTTTGGTGTCGGAATGCCGGTGTTTCTATATTTGGATGCCTTTGGGAATGTGTGGAAAGTTGAGAAATTGGGATATGACTATATTAACAGACTTTTGCTTTAGATTTTGTAGGATTTAACCTTATTAGTTAAATAAACCAAGAACTCGTGGCAGAGATAATATAGAGGCTTATCATCAATTTTTCAGTTGGAACTCATCTAAAAGGTTAGTAAATTAAAAATGGTGTAACTTAAATATTTATACTTCAACACGCGCCCCTCACGTGCACGATAGATTTTGAGCCTTGAAAATCTTTTAATTATCAAGGTGGCACAAGATTTGAACCCAGGACCTTATGCTTTGATACCATTTTAAACCACCAGCTACTCCAAAAGTTTAAACTATTAGAGAGGAAGTAATTTAAGTATCTATACTTCAACAACTTCTTAATCCTTCATCCAGTTGATTGCACAGATTTTGGAAATTTTTTTTAACCGAACCCAAAACGAAAAGAAAGGAAAGGGACACATTTTTTTGGAGTGTGTGTGCAAGTAAATGCATTTCTATGTACCATTTCTAGTTTGTATATTTTTTCATTTTGATTTCTGTCTTTGCGCGTGAACGTATATCATGAATCATCACGCATGCATTTTTTTCTGTTTTGTTTATTGGGGATTTCTTTGTCTAACTGCATAAAGTTTTGAAACATCTTTGTGCTTGGAGTCATCTTAGGTTAACGTGCGATGGTTTGGGGAATCCATTATGTGTAATGAAGAAAAGCTACGTGGTTTATAGTCATCTGAAACCTCTTTAAGTATTCTGCTTATAATTTTTTTTTTTTAAAACAGATTCTGCGTATAATTCAATGCTGCTAATGTGCACCGTTATACTTTTCTGGGAACCACCCAGACATCATTTGCAGGTTCATTTCCAACACCAATATGGCAGGTTGGAGTTGGCTTGATTAGTCCTTCCAAAAGGGCTTCTTCACTTCCTTGTATAAGGTGTGAGAAAAAGGAGAAGAATGAGGGTTCTATTGAGCATGTATCTGTTGAGCGTCCTCCATATTACAGTTATATGGACTCTACGTCTGGGCAGCTTGAACCAGCCTCTGGTGCTCGTGCAAGTATTCCAGGGCAAGAGTACTGGCCAGAGGGGACAGCTAGTCGAGTTAGGGCTGCCAGGGCTCCTGAACCCATTGGCGAGTCAGCCGGAGTTCCATCTTATGGCAAAAGTCCAGGGAGTAGGAGAAAAAAGTTTAAGGCATCTGTCGCTGCTTCTGAATCTTCAGAAATGAGTGTCGTATCAAATGATTTAGTAGAAGCTGAAACTTCGGATGATGAATTTGAAGACCCTAAAGATATGTCTTCCGAATATGTTGTCTATCAGACAGAGCCTGAGGAAGAGGAGCTAACAGGCTATAAATTGGACAAGAAACTTGGGCGCCCTCACCCCTTTATTGATCCGGAAGTGAAGAAGCAGATAGAGGAGCCACTTACAAGTGAAGAACTTTGGTGGAACTGGAGAAAGCCAGACAAGGAACAATGGTCTAGGTGGCAGAGGCGGCGACCTGATGTTGAAACGGTTAGTGCAAACAAAAACAAAAAAAAAGAGAAAATAAAAAAGGAATAAAAAGAGAAAGATGTATCTAATTGAGAGATAGATTCTGATTGCATTATGCAGACTTTTGGAAGTGCAAAAGTGATGCCTTCTGCCCCATGATTCTTCCTAGAACTTGACCCAAATTAGACTTGGCAACATAGACTGTTGCTTGGGTTTGTTATTTGTTTGCAAGTGTCCAATTCCTTGTAGGTGCCATGCATATAGTCTGTTTCTGTTGATGTATGCATGCACATCGCGTACAAAGGATTTGTGTTGAATTGTGTTGTTAATGTGGGAGTAAGGACCCATCGATGATGGCCCCACTTAGAGGGTCTGTTGGAAAAAAAGTTGGATGTTATCATGCTCTTTTGAGTTTTTGGTATAATTTTGTTCTGCATTTGATGTGTATAAGAAGTCTATGAGTTGTATGGTAGGTTATATGTGATCATGTTGGGTGCTTGTGTTGTCAATTACCTCTTTGATAACCACTTTATGGTTGATTCTTCGTCTGCACATTTACAACGTGGTTTGTTTGGGGTTCTCTGATAAATGCATTAACAATAATTCTTTGGTAGGAATGCACAAGCACACCGTAATTATGTTTTCATGAGGAAACGTATTTTCCTTGTCCTGACTTAAAGTTTGCCTTCTCAATTTGGAATTTCTCATCCCCCCCCTTTTTACTTTCATCAGGTGTTTCTTAAAGCTATGGCAGAGACGGGGCAGATCAAACTTTATGGTGAGCATCCAACGTTGACCGAGACCTCACTTTACAGAGCTAGACGACATATTTTTAAAGAGGAGAGGTATCATTAATTTTCTGATTTGGATGGATTGTCACTTCATGCTTAACACATTATGAATGTAGTTTTCTGATTCTTGCTCAATGTCTTTTCATCTTTCTATTTCGAGAATGCGCATAGATTAATGAATCAGGTTGAAGCCATGGATTAGGGTTTCTAGTGCTTAGGTTTTGCTCATCTCAACATGGCATTCAGTAGGAGCGTATTTGATCTCTGCCCCTGCCCAAGTTAAGGATTTGTGAAGTTAAGTCTGATTGTTCAGAAGCCAAACATAGATGTGAAAGCTCAACTGCTCAAGGTTGTGACAGATATTAGCAGGCCTAGTGCAGTTTTTGGTGGAAGAAAGTAAGTCACAACAGGACTTGGAATAAGTGATACAGGTGGAAGATGATTTAGATGAAGCTTTGGGAACAGTCAAGATAGAGGTTTACCCTTTAGGATTGTGAGGGCCATAAGATGGACACTAATTTCCTTGCCACTTTGATCTGCTAATGTAGAACTTATTAAGAGCATGAATCAGCATATGCTTGACCATGCGAAGACCTCCATAACTAGAACACCTTTAATATAGTTGGAACAATACTAAAAGCTAAACTGGCTTCCCTAGATGCTAGATTATCCTTCTAAGGGTCTTAGAGCTTTTGCAATGTTGCTGATTCTAAAGCATCCAACCTAAAACCAAATGACAACAAGTGGAGAAGTCAATCAATGATATAAATCAAGGTATTCCTGTCAATGCCCGGATCAACTACATCGAAAAGTGGCAGCAATTCTGAAATACACCCTCCATGGGACTCGTGGTTACACATGAGGCTGCCAAACAAACATACAACAAGCATTGCGAAATTCAAATGCATAAGAGAATTGGCCTAATCACCATCCAAGGTCAACATAAACTAACCGTGTCTGATCCTAATATTTCAATGTGGATATCTTTACTGTCACTAAAAGGAGATCTAGTAGGGGAGTTCTCAAAATAATCATGAGAATTGAAGTATTCTTGTTGGTTCACAGTGCTTGGATTCCATGGCAAGTTTAAATAAATGGATTGAAGGACAAAAGTTAAACCCACCAGATTGAGATCGATGCTGGAATGTCGGAGGTGTGTGTAAGAGTCTGATATGAGATGTGGTTTGTCATCAAACATTTTTAATTGGATTAGTACTACTATGAACCAAAAAGGCTCAAAAAATAAACAGGTTCCCCATCTATATTATTGGTATCTTCTCAGCAGCTTTGATAGGACACAACTTTATAATTTCTCAAACTGAAGGCAGTACACTAATGCAATCCACAGCAGGGCAGTGTAATCCAACTTGAACTAAAAGAGGCTTGTAAATTATAAGTGAATAAGTTAATACTCGAAAGTGGTGACATTGTCTTCTTGAAAACTGTGATAATGGAGGTCATTCTATTTTGTCAAACCAAGGTGCTGGCCTCTTTAATCCAAACGACAAGATAGGTCCGTGGAGTGTACTTAAATCAATATAGAGTATTTACAGCAATGGAACTTTGTTGTGCTTTCAGTAGGTTATCAAAACAATTAACCTTACATGTTTAACTTTGAGGTTATGGTGAGCCCATCACATATGAAGATTGAACAAAACAGTTGTTCCTAGTCATGTTCAAATTCAAAGAATCTGGACTTTTCAGATACTGGTGCTTAATTCATTACCATACCACACAACGGAAATCCACAAATTTATTTCTATTCCTTGGCATATTAGATGCATGAAGCCTGAATTGCATACAGTATGAGGGATATTCACCCAGTGACCGTTAGACTATTGTTGCTGGAACTTGTTGCTTAGCTTCTTAGACCATATGGGAATTTATTAAGCTCCTTTCAAAAGATTTGCCAAAAATTATGATGTTTAACATGATGTGTGTTACAAGCGCTTGTATCCCTTATCAAATGATCAGGATCACCTTGGGTTGGTTTGTATAGTGAAAATGGTTCCTCCAGTCATTGTCAATTGGTTTTGAGTTGGATGCTCTAATATAGTGTCAAAGCTGGGTGTTGGGTGGTCAGTAGAGCAAGTCTCTTACTGATAGGAATTGGATTATATTTCGTTATAGTAGGCGTAGGCGTAAGGATTAGCAGTTATTTGTCATTATGCTTTTCTGGGGTTTAGTTGTCATTATGACTATTTATTTCTTTTAGAGTTCTTTTAGGATTTGTGGTCTCCCTATATATATATCTAGGAGGTATATTATTTGTTTTTGGTAGACTTTGATTATTGATTATTGATATTGAATCTTCTTTCTAAAATTCTCTCTATTCTCATCTCCTTCTTCTTCTTTTCTCATCCCTTTCTTCTTCCCTTCTCATCCCTAATTCTTTCCTAATACGATCTACATCAATTTGGTATCAGAGCCTAATTTCGATTCGTATAAATCACAAAAAATCTCAACAATGCTGTTCATCGAAAAAAAAAACTGTTCGCGCGAAATTACTGTTCACCTGCTGTCCAGGTAAAAAAAAAAAAAAAAAAACTTTGGCAGATTCTTACTGTTCATCGTTCCTGTTTTAGAAAAAAAATTAAAAAAAAAAATAAATTTCATTGTGCGCACTGTTCATCGCGAACTGTTCTGGTCTTGTTCCATAAAAAAAAAAAATAATTGTGCACTGTTCATCGCTGTTACTGTTCATTGCACCTGTTTTCGTCATTGACCTGTGCTGCTTCGACTTCATCGCTGCCCATCTTCTTCCTCGTTCCATCGTGTTAAGGAAGAAGACATTTATTTTAACCCTTTCACCCCCATAAAGCTCCAAAATTACAGGAACCTCTCCAGAAGTTTTCGAAAATTACAAAATCACCCTAGAAGTTCTAGTAAATTACAGAAATATCATCCAGAAATTTCAGTATTGCAGAAACGTTCCAACAGGTTTAGAAAATTACAGAAATATCACCCCAAAAGTTTCAGAAATTACAAAAATACCCCAGAAAGTTCTACACTTTGTAGGATCATCCCCTAACTTGTCAAGCATCCTCTTGGAGTTGCATCTAACACCAGGTACGAGTTCTTTTCGTTGAGAATTGGTGACTAGTATTTATATTTGTCGGTAAGTCAAACAAAAAAAAAATAAAAATCTAAACTTTCTTTGTTTGTTGTTCTCGCATACCACCTTCATAACCTTCTTTATTTGTTGTTCCCACACACCACCTTCATAACTTAGCTTATCCAATTTCTTGTTAAATCCATTGTTGCTTGTCTCTCGTTTATTTGAGCCTCTTTACAATAAGTTTGTTCTTATGTGTGACCAGTTGCATTGATTTATAATTTTTATTACTTGGTTTAATTTTTAGTCTAGTCGGCCATTTACATTAACCCAAATTTTACATTACATTCACTATGACCCTTCGTGAACTTTCAGAATCCCATACTACATTAGAACAAAAATTTGAGACCCTTACCATTGATATGACTGATACCAAACAATCAGTCGACTTGTTACGTGAGGAAGTTAAAGGAATGGGGCAACAACTTTCTCAAGTTAATACTCAACTAGCCCAATTGACTAAGTTTATGGAAAAACGACCAATAGACTATGACCAGAGTGAGTCACAAGTTTCACCTAAGTCTAACCAAGTACCCACTGTTCGGCACCTGCCTCTTCCGATAGATCCTACTGACTTATGTCAAGGTGTCCTACCCACTCTGCAAGTAACTCAGGAGAGCCGAATACAGCGTCCAGATAGGAAGACACCTCCTAATACCGTTTTTGGACGAAACGTAGGTCGTAGGAATGTTCAGGAGGATCCCGTTGAGGTAGTCATGTCTGACTATTCAGCAGAGGGTGATATGGATGGTTATCGTGAGCCCTTTCGCCCACGTGCTAGATACCATAGGTCTCCCCCTCCGCGTTACTATAATCCTCGACATAGGCATGTCCACGAAGAATCTAGGGATATCACACAAAGAGTCAAAGTGGACGCTCCTAGCTTTGATGGTAGGTTAGATCCTATTGCTTTCTTAGATTGGTTGGATGACTATTTTGATTGGTATGATATGTCCAACAACCATCGAGTTCGTTTTGCCAAAATGAAACTTGTTGTTTTGGCTAAGAGATATTGACAGGGAGTCCAACGAGACCAAGAGCGCCTAGAGGGACAACCTATTACTTTATGGGCTGAGATGAAACAAAGATTGCGAGATAAATATCTCCCTAGTTACTATAAGCGCCAACTCTTAGACAAGTGGATGAACTTGCGTCAATTGACCTCGAGTGTGACTGATTACCTAGCTCGATTTGAAGAGCTCTTTTTGAGATGTGACATAAAGGAAGAGCTTTGGGTAATAGTTACAAAATTCATTAATGGCTTACGACCTGAGATTAAGAGAGAACTTAACTTACACTCTCCTGAAACGGTTGAGGAAGCATATTATAAAGCCTTAGAGATTGAACAATACCTTAGGCCACCCTTTCAGCGTCGAATGCCTTCTCAAACCGGAGAATCTCAACTATCAAGGTTAATCCCATTTGATCGGTCTCGAGGCATCACCCAGTCAGGCCCTGTCACATCCAGGGGTAACAATTACCCCAACTTGAGAGGTAATACCACTAGGGGTCAAGATTCTACACTCACAAGTTCTCGCCAGGACAGTTCTTCCCTAGAGTGTCACCGTTGTCATTGTAAGGGTCATATTGCTTCACAGTGCCCTCAGCGTACCTTGACCATTGACCAGGGATTAGAGAATTCACTTGACAGAGAGGATGTTGACCAAGAAGTTGATCCTTTGTATGAGGGTGAGGAAAAGTGGCAAACTGATGACACCCGTGTCAGTGTGATGCGATGTATCTTATCCACCCCTTCAGACACAGCAGCATGGAAACACACCAGCATTTTTCATACTCTAGTCCGATGTAGGGGTCAAGTTTGCAAGGTCGTCATTGATGGGGGAAGTTCATTGAATGTCATCTCTAAATCAGCTGTAGTTCAGTTGCAGCTTAAGTCAGAGACACACCCACAACCTTACAAAGTCGCATGGGTTGACAAGACCTCCTTACTAGTCTCACATAGATGTTTGGTCCCTATTCAGATGGGTGATTATTCAGATTATATATGGTGTGATGTCTTACCTATGGATGTCGTTCATGTCTTGTTGGGTCGCTTGTGGCTTTTTGATCTAGATGTGACAAACTATGGGAGAGAAAATACCTATGTTTTTAAGCATAAGGGAAAAACCATTAAGTTAAAACCTACGAAACCTTCAGAAAGTAATACTTCAAAGCATAGGTCATCTTCCCTAGTAATTCACAAGAAAGACCTTCATATCTTGACCCATAGAGAATTTGAGAAAGAGAGAAAAGAGTCTGGTATAATGGTAGCTCTAGTTGTCAAAAAAGTTGTTCAAAGTCCTCTGGAATCTAAAGACAATATTTTGCCTGAGGTTGATAGTCTATTGAGAAAGTTCTATGATGTGATTCCTGAGGAACTACCCAATGAGTTGCTACCAATGGGAGATGTTCAACATGCTATTGACTTAGTTCCAGGATCTCAGTTGCCTAATCTTCCCCATTATCGTATGAATGCTACTGAGCGTGCTGAACTCCAAAGGCAAGTAGATGGATTGTTGCAAAAAGGATCTGTTCGTTATAGTCTTAGTCCATGTGCTGTCCCTGCTTTGTTGACCCCTAAGAAAGATGGCTCTTGGAGAATGTGTGTTGATAGCCGTGTCATTAACAAAATTACAGTCAAGTATTGATTTCCTATACTGAGACTTGAAGATATGCTTGACCTTTTGGCCGGTACACTTTGGTTCTCCAAAATTGATTTGCGCAATGGTTATCATCAAATCCGAATTAGATCAGAAGATGAATGAAAAACCGCATTTAAAACCCAGGATGGACTTTATGAGTGGTTGGTCATGCCTTTTGGATTGTCTAATGCACCTAGCACATTTATGAGGGTTATGACTCAGATACTGCGTCCTTTCCTAGGAAAATTTGTGGTTGTTTACTTTGATGACATCTTGATCTATAGTAAGTCTAAAGAAGAGCATTTGGATCATCTTCGACAGATCTTGCAGACATTACGTATGGAAAAATTCTATGCGAACCTTAAGAAGTGCTCCTTTATGCAAACTCAATGCTTTCCTTAGATTTGTTATTTCTGCACATGGTATTGCAGCTGACCCAGAGAAAATTCGTGCTATTAGGGATTGGCCAGTGCCAAGAACAATTTCTGAGGTTCAAAATTTTCATGGTTTGGCCACTTTCTATAGATGATTTATTAAAGGGTTTAGTTCCATTATGGCTCCCATCACAGAGTGCATGAAAAAAGGGGAGTTTCAATGGATACTTGCTGCAACTAGAGCCTTTCAAGAAATTAAGCACAGGATGACAAAGGCACCCGTTCTTCGACACCCAGATTTTTCTAAGGTGTTTGAAGTTGCCTGTGATGCATCTGGTGTAGGGATAGGTGGAGTTTTAAGTCAAGAGGGTCATCCTATTGCTTACTTCAGCGAAAAACTCAATGAAGCTAAACAACGATACTCTACATATGACAAAGAGTTCTATGCTGTGGTACAAGCTCTTCGCAATTGGAGGTATTATCTATTGCCATATGAGTTTGTGTTATATTCTGATCATCAGGCATTAAAATACCTTCATTCCCAGAAAAAATTGAGTGTTAGGCACGTTAGGTGGGTTGAGTTCCTTCAGGAGTATACTTTTGTTCTTCACCACCGAGCGGGTATTGAAAACAAGCTTGCGCATGCTCTTAGCCGTGTAGTTACTGTTTTACAGACTATGAGTGTCCATGTGATTGGCTTTGACAGGATTAGAAATGAGTATGCCTCTTGTCCTGACTTTGGTATCATTTTTCAGGAGGTTCAGTCTAGTAATCGTCATGAGTACATTGACTTCCTCCTTAGAGATGGTTACTTGTTTAGAGGGTCACGCTTATGTATTCCTCGTACTTCACTTAGGGATTTTCTGATTTGGGAATTACATGCGGGAGATTTGGCAGGCCACTTTGGTAGGGATAAGACATTTGCACTTGTTGAGGATAGGTTTTATTGGCCCACTTTGAGGCATGACATTATTAGGATAGTGGCACAGTGTCGCACTTATCAATTAGCAAAGGCTAGGAAACAAAACACAGGGTTGTACACACCATTACCAGTTCCACACACAGCATGGAGAGACCTTAGTATGGACTTTGTCTTAGGATTGCCTAAAACAACCCGTAATCATGATTCCATTCTAGTTGTCATGGATAGGTTTTCTAAGATGGCCCATTTCATTTCTTGTACTAAGTCTACTGATGCCTCATATGTAGCAAAGTTATTTTTTAGAGAGCTCGTCCGACTACATGGGTTGCCTATTTCTATTGTGTCTGATAGGGATGTCAAGTTTACGAGTTATTTTTGGAATACACTTTGGAAACTCTTTGGAAGTAGTCTTAAGTTTTCCTCTGCCTTTCATCCTCAAACTGAGGTAGTCAATCGTAGCTTAGGAGATTTGCTTAGGTGTCTAATGGGTGAGAAGATGGGAAATTGGGATTTGTTGTTGCCTACTGCTGAATTTGCCTATAATAATTCCGTTAACAGGTCGACTGGTCTATTCCCTTTTGAGATTGTTTATGGCCATTTTCCTAGATAGCCCATTGATTTATTACCTTTACCTCCTGATTCCTACCCCTCACACTCAGTCGAAGCTTTTGTCCAGCATATTCATGACTTGCATGCCTACATAAGACAGAAAGTTACATTAAGTAATGAGAATTATAAATTGGCTACAGATGTTCATCGTAGGAATAAAGAATTTATTGTGGGAGACTATGTCATGATTTGTGTGCGTCCTGAACGTTACCCTAAAAATTCTTTCAAAAAGTTACATACTCGAGCCACTGGCCCTTTTCGTATTCTTCGTAAACTTGGACCTAATGCATATCACCTTGACTTACCTTCGAATATGAGTATTAGTCCTATTTTTAATGTGGAGGACTTGTTTCCTTATCATGGTACTTTTGAGCCTCCTATGTTTCCAGCAGGTGTTCCTACCGGTGGACTTGCTTCGTCATCAGCATCAACTACAATTCGTATTCTTCCACTGTTTCCACCACAGTTGTATGACCAGATCGCAGATGTACTTGATGATCAGATTGTGGGCTCCTCGGATGGAGGATATCGTCGTTATCTTATTTGGTGGAGAGATCGTCCAGAGACTGATGATTCATGGATTACTGAGGAGGAGTTTCGTCGGCTTGACCATGATCTTCTAGAGCATTATCATGATCGTATCTCTCCGGAGGCGAGTTCTTTTCAGCCGGGGGGAAATGATAGGAATCGGATTATATTTCGTTATAGTAGGCGTATGCGTAAGGATTATGAGTTATTTGTCATTATGCTTTTCAGGGGTTTAGTTGTCATTTTGACTATTTATTTCTTTTAGAGTTCTTTTAAGATTTGTGGTCTCCCTATATATATATATATAGGCGATATTTTATTTGTTTTGGTAGACTTTGATTATTGATTATTGATATTGAAGCTTCTTTTTAAATATTCTCTATTCTCATCTCCTTCTTCTTCTTTCCATCTCATCCCTAATACGATCTACATCACTTACCCATTTGAATTTCGCAATAAATTTGTTTGATTGTTCGTTTGTTAGTCCCACGTGTGAGCCTGGTTTTCACCTGAGGGAGAGTATAAAGAGAGATTGTATCCCATATTGAATGATTAGGATCATCCAAGGTGAGTTTGTATAGTGAGAGGGCCTCTCCTCTTGTGACCAATTGGATTTGAGTTGGATGATTTATGATTAAAAGCATACGAGATCATTTGTGCTTTTACCTTTCTCTCTTTCATTTTGTTGCATCTTGAATTGAATAGAGTATGAGGGATCTACACTCCGTGGATGTGAGATTCTTGTTGCATAGTTAGCTTCTTAGACCACTTTGGAATTTGTTAAGCTCCTTTTAAAAGATCTGCCAAAAACTGTGATACTTAACATAATATGTGATTAAAAGCATAAGGGATTGTTTGTGCTTTTACCTTTTTTCCTGTCATTTTTTAGTAACATCTTTACTTGGACTCTGAGCTGTTAAGCCAATAATAAGAGATTTGCTGGTGTATTTTGATATTCAAAATGAAAATTGCAGGCTAATTGTTAGTTTTCATAGGCTACAGGCTGAACAAGAAAGACTAGAAAGAATAGGTCCAATAGCATACTACTCGGAATGGGTAAAAGCATGGAAGAGAGACACTTCACGTGAAGCTGTTCAAAAACATTTTGAAGAGACTGGGGAAGATGAGAACACCCAACTCATTGAAATGTTCACACATCAAACTGATCGGGAGTACCGCATAATGATGGGGACTGATATTCGTATCCGCAGGGATCCATTGGCAATGCGAATGCGGGAGGATCAAATAAAGCAAAGTATTTACTTCAAAGTCGATAAGTTTGCAGATTACAGACATCTTTCTTTTGGTTTTCCTTCATACTGAAAATCATTCTAATTTAGTCATGAAGCATTTTAAATTAAGTTAATGTTCTATTGCTTCTCTTTTCTTTTGTTGATTTCTACTCTGGCTATTCTATGTAACTTGTTAATAATGACAATCTTTGTGCACCAGATAAATCAGCTGGGGTGGTATGAGTTATTCACTCTATTGATATCATTACCTGCTGCCCTCCTCCCTCTTCCTTCTGTCTTTATTTTTCTATTTGTATGTATATATGTCATTTCTTCTCTTTTAATAGTTTTTTGGGATCAGTAAGCATAGCTTCATCTTGAGAGATTTAGTGGGTTTTTTCTTGTGCCTTCATACCACATTACACTGTCCTCTACCCTTGCTGTGCGAGTTACACGTTTCCACTTTATCCTCTCCTTATTTTCATTATGGTAGACTATTAGTTAATAAAACTAATATTTCATTTTGTTGTACTTGTGATACTTCCAGTTCTATTTATTAGTAGATGCAAAAAGATGTTGAATTTGCGTCATGTTTCCCCGTTTGCTTGACCTTTTTTACTGTGGTTGGCACTTCAATAACCTGTTGGCCTCTTGCAGTATGGGGTGGAGATCCAGTTTACCCAACTATTAACTACATTCAAGATCCAAATGAGGTGATTGATTTCCGGGGTCCAGATTTTCACGAACCCACACCAAATATGCTGGCTTATCTTAAAGAGGTTAATGCTAAAAACTCTAAATGTTCAATTCTCAAGTCATTTATCCATCATCTAATGTTTTTTTAGAATTTTTTATTAAGTTTATTTTAGGCAATAAGTTGCTTTATGCTTTAATGTTCTGAGGCCCTTCATGTTTGGTGTGTATATGATCCGTATGTACCATTGAGTAGTTGTACCTATACATCAAGAGCCCTTATGTCTCGATTCCATGATTTTAAGGACTTGAAACAACACCTTTCTCCGAAGAACATAATCTATTTATTTGGGGCCACAACATTTGTCAAGATTCCAATGAAACATTATGGTGCGCAAGTTGACATTTAAGAACTGTATTTCCAAAGTATATAAAAACTGACTTGACAGGCACGCCAAGCACTAATAATAGATTTTGTTTTAGATTTAGTGCGTTTGAGAGCATGACTTTTATCTGATCCAAATTAATTAATGTGAACTGTGAAGTTTAGATTGTCAATCAGTTTCATCATTTGATAGGCCCAAAATATTCAACTACAAGTATTTCTGAAATCAGACCTCTTCTGCTTTATTACCTAATGTTATAACTGAATGACAGATTCACATGGTTGCCAAATGGTGGCTGTTGTTGAATGCGTTCAGCTTCTGCAGCTTTGCTGTTATGCTCTTCAACTTTGCCTTCACTGGATACTTCTGATTAGATAGCGTGAAAGATAACTTCATTAGGAGTGACCTTGGGAATGCCAGGACAAAAAAGCTTCATTATTCTGTATTTCATCATGTTTGCTGTAGTGCCGCTCATAAAGTGCACTGTGTTTGGTGTATTGTCCTTATGCTTGTCAGAATGGTCTCTGTACTCTTCTCCACGTCCACCACCTCTCTCTCTCTCTCTCTCTCTCTCCCTCCCCCCCCCTCCACACCCCCATATATAAACACGACTTATTTTAATCCTGACTCCTAACATGAATTACTAAACAAATATGATTGTTAGCTGCAGTATTTGTATTCAAGTAAAGTCTCAATAAGTTAACATACTGAATTATTCCCTCATATTGGGTGTATAACAATTCTGTTCAGCATGGCAAATTAATATCAAGAGATGAGCTTGAGAAAATCCTGGCCAAAGAGAAGACGGAAGAACTTGAGGTGACGACTTACACCTATGCACTCTGCATCATATTTAGTTTTTGGTATGATTGATATTCTTATATCATTTACTATATATATATATATTTATTTATCTTTCCCTACAAACTTTCTCCTATCATGGGAGATTTATGCTTACAGATCCCTTTATTCTTCCTGTTTTCGTCTTATTGTAATGGAAAAAGCTCAAGCAGCCATTGAATATGTCTTGATTGTCCAGCAGTGGCAAGGTGCTGTGTTCATGTCCCACTTAGATGGTCCCATTGCCCATTAGTTTAATCACTATACAAATTCCAAATTTGTGTCATGAGCTTCGCTGTGTATCTTATGACAAACTTTGGAGTGGACTCTGAGGTATACTGTGAGTTAGAGTCCCAAGAAGTCTATAAATCAGCTCATCTTAATAGGTGATGCAAGACGAGAACAAGAATATCAATTAGCTGGAGAATGCTCCAAAAAAGAGAGAGAAACTCAGGACGAAGTGAAAAAATCACCTTACTTAGTACTAAGAAAAAAAAGGATTGAAACACCTCCCATGCAATTCGTAATCCCATTCTATATCAAGGCTTCTTTAGATCATACATATTTGCCCTTTTTATTCCAAACCCCAAAAACCTAGTTAACACACACCAAAAATAGAACATAACAATATATAAAATCCAAATTTATGAAATGAACCCATAGATCCTAAATTTCACAATAATACAAAAATAAATTATAAACTGTAATCCTAAATTTCACAATACTAGAATAAATTCTAAACTGTAATCTTCAGTTTCTAGCTTTATCTAACTTATTTTTGATCCCCATCAATAGGCTGTTCTTCAGTTAAGGATCAAATTTCGTTTCGGTAAATAGTTTTAATCGGTTCAGAAAAGGACATGTTTCAAAAAAAAAAAAAAATGAACATACAAGAAATTCAAAAACTCTGTTTTTGAAGCATTCCAAAACATGTGCCAAAATATAGCAAAACACCTTAGAACTTTCTGAAACACTTTGAAACATTCAATTGCCATTTTTATTTGATTTCCATGGAAATTCAAACATTTTGGTCATTTCAATTAATTAAATTTAGATTCTTGTTTTCAGTTGATATGCTGGACAAGGAAAGAGCTTCCAAATGAGTTAAAAAACTTCTTATGTAGCCTAAGCTTACGATCTGTCCAGTTGATGGATACCTTGGATTTTGTCAATCGTGCTAATCATTCCTCGTGTTTGAACATAATTCTATGGAAGTGAAATATTTTGCTTCACAAATGAATCAAGTTTTTTAAAATTGGGATCCTACCTTGGATTGATTAGGGAGGCTAAAGGATTGAGGTCGGAGGATCAGATTGAGAATCATAAGATCCTATTAATTGAAAAAATGAGACGAGAAATATATGCAAGGATAAGAATGGTTAAAGATAAGAATTAAACAAACCTAGTATATATGCAAATAGAAATATTATGGCAAATATGAAACTTAGAGATATGATTTTAATTAAAGAGGGTTAAAACTTAAAGGTGTATTGTTTATCTTGTAAAAGGGAATAGTAAGATTGAAGTATTGTGATCTTAACTTTCAGAGAGAGATGGATAGAGGAGAGAGGAAAGTTGAGAGGCATTTGAATGAACAACTTTGACTGTTTGATACTTACTCAAAAATAAAATTTGAGTGGTTGACATTCAAACAGGAAAAAAAAATGGAAGAAAATGAAAAAGAAGACTATATGACTATGATCCCTCGCTGAAAGAGTAGATCAAGTGTAGCCGTTGTTTTTAACTTTACAATGAGAGAGACCACGGATGAATGGAGCTTTCTATAACGAAGAGAACTTTCTGTAGCTTTTCTCATTGTCAAACTTCCCAATAGACTGAAAATTATATAAGATGGTCACATTTGGATTCAATCTTTTATATTGAAACATCAACTATGAATTGGGTTAGCTCAATAACTAAATGTGCCTAGAAAAAAAACCTACAACTTGGATTGGTGAACTTGCACTTTGGATCGGGTTCTTATGATCTATAAGATTATGATCACGATTCATTAGGATTCTATGCATTAGGGAGTTCGTTAGAGACTCTTATCGACTGGTTTTGTACCGAATCGTAAGATCCTACAATCTAGATCTGGATTTTAATAATCATGAAATGAGTTTTACTGATGTCTTAAGTTATAACCTCCCTAAAAACTTATATTTTTAGAGTAATTGATGATTAACATGATATTAGAGCAGCATAACCTCTTTTTGAATATCAAGTACAGTTTGTAATTTTTTTATATTTCAGATGACTTATCCATTGAAATACTTGAATAATGAAGTTTACATGATCTTTTGGGCAACTAAGATTTATTGATTTGTTTAGGTATTTCGTACTATCTATTTAATTGTAATTTACAATAGGTTTGTTTATGTGATTATTTTTTATTTTTAAATATATCTATGTCATCTCAATTTTATCTTATCGCATCTTAAAATATAAAGTATATTTATTCACGTATCTTACTGTATTTGTATCCTACTCTTTTAGATTTTGTTGTATTGCCTTGTACATATGGTGTTGTACTTCCATATATGTATTCATGCTTCCTAGGCCATCACCTGGATCTTGCATGTGTTCGGCCCAAAATCTAACGGGTACATGAAGCGTGGTGTTGAATTAATAAATACTTATGTAATTGGTGATTAACAATTTCTTGTGACCTCAAACTCTGGCGATTTCCCGAGGGGAACCCTCTAATTTTTTATGGCCTTTCTCTTTACTTTTAATTTTTCCTTTTGTTCCATCATCTCCCAAGTTGCGTCTCTTCTACAACAGGTAACAGATATGGATGAAGCTATGGCACGAGCTGTTGATATTGGCGAAAATGATGTGAGTTTTATCATCTCATTAGTTTGTCTGGATATTATTTTCCCCTTCAAATTATTATGTTTATGCTTCGTGAATATGGTTGTGTGGGATAGTGTTTTACGCGGATTAGGTTGGTTGCATAGGACACTATCTTTTTATGCTTACTTTGCAATAGGATGAAGGAGAGGACAGTGAGGTTGATGGTGATGATGAAGATGAGAAAATCACCCGGAACTGGAGTGTTCTAAAAAGTACTCCTGAGCTTCGGAAGTCAAAGGTAAATGGTTTCTGATGAATCCTATATTGCTACATGCTTTTATTGTATATATGTTTTTGTATGGATGATTGTGAATTATCCTATTTTTCACATACACTTGGGAAAAGATCAAATAAGAGAGTGTATAATAGCAATGACAACATTAGGAAACATCCCTGATGTACACCTCTATGAAATTAGTTTTTATGTTAATCATTCAACGTCTCTGAACTCTGATAGGAGGGCTAAATGAAACATTTGAATGCTCTGAATTTTGCTAGTCTTGTTGAGAATATTATCCAAGCATTAATGTGTTAAAAAAAAACTCCCTTGTTTCCTACTAGTGAGCTGCAGAATATTGCCTCTCTAATCTATCATTCATACTCTTCTACTTGCAGGGACAACCTAAGAAGGATGACATGTCTCTAGGAGAAGCAGTAGATGACTCCGAGAATTTAACTGATTTTCTTTTGGACTTTGAGGAAAATGAGTGATGTATCTCGCCTTGTGAACTTTTTGAGGTACGTTTGGAGTTAATAAAGAGAAAAAGAAAGCCAAGAAAATGATCCAGAATATATGGAAGGAATCACAAGCTGAGACATTCAGCAAACACACAAGTTCACAATGTAAACTCATCTGGTATACAAAAGGAGGCTTTAATTAATCCTGTAATAGATCTCCTGCTTATCAAATTTTGATGCAAGAACATGAGACAATATTACTAATGCGTTCCAAAAGAAGCTTGAGAAGGAGCAAATTTGAAAAGGGGAAATTTTTAAAAATTGGCTTGGTTAATGGTCAAACCCTTCCCCTTCCCCTTCCCTTTCCCCTTTTTTTTTTAAAAAAAATAAAAATAAAATAAAAAAAGGTCAAACCCACTTGGGACCTACTAGGATTAAGTTGTTCGTTTGAGTCTAGTCCCGTCTTATGGTGCTCTTTGGACAAATTTTTTGTTAATTTAGCGTATTTGGTAAATTTAGAGGTTAGGATAAAAGGCTAAACCACGGGTTTTCTGTATAGTTCTGAAATCAAGTTTCATATTGTGAATATTATTGTTGCATTTTTCTTGGATCGAGGATCACATCGAATTGGAAATTGTAAGATTGTGTAAGGAATTCAAAAGTCGATAGTATAACAATAAAAATATAACTAAATTCAAAATGGAGGATATTACAGTATATTTCACAATAATTATAAATATGGGCATAAGTGTTGATTACCAATCCTATTTTTTATGGCTATATCTATGTACCTGTGTTCGGGCTTATTTATTTGTCAGGTGTTTATTATTTTCTGAAATGATTCGAGGTCTTTTAGGTGAATTCGTTTGCCTCAAATAAGTGTCTCTCTCTTTCACAATGACCCTCTCTCCTCTTCTCCTCCTCTTCTGTGCATTGATCAAAGCTAAGAAATTGAACAACAATTTGTTGAGATTAAACTAGGGTCAAATACAGAGTGAATGAATTATTCATTGTCACCCAGGAAAAATAAAGTTTCAGGCAGGTTCTTTATATGGTGGAATTAAATGGTTCAACACACTTGTAGAGTTGTTGATAGTTTTATGAAGGATTCAACTTTGCCTTCGATTTTAAAATGGTCTCTAAACTTTCAATTGTCTCAATTTAGTCCATAAATTTTGTGTCAATAAAATCCTTTCCATCATTTCATTCGTTGGAACTAATGGTCCATTACTCTCGGTAGAAGTAATGACTTGGATGTACTGATGACAAACACATAAGTTTGTCTCAGTAAGTTCTAACGAGTGAAATAGAGTAAAGGATTTTATTGACATGAAATTGATAGTTCAGGGACTAAATTGAGACAATTGAAAGTGCAGAGATCATTTTAAAACCTAAGACAAAGTTTAAGGACTGATTATCATATTTACTCTTTTATGAAACATTGCATACAATAGGGCTCCAATTGTTTTGTTTGACACTGTTCAGAAATTTTGCCCATTTTATTTAGGGTAATTTACAATTTATACCCTTAAAGTATGCACATAATTTCTATTTGGTCGATGAAGTTTCAATAAATACAATTACATTCTTCAAGTTTTTATTGAGTTTCAATGAAGTCTTGCCATTCAGGTCTATTAATTTGTTTCGACAAAAAGATGTTAGAGAACTTGCCCATAAAGGTATATTTGTCTAGTAAAAAATATATCTCTCAAATACATCAATATTTCTCTCTTTGACTCACAATATTTCTCAAATTCTCACTCTGCATTTTTTTTGGGTTTGTTATTCTTTTTTTCCCCTCAAAATCAGATAAATAAAGTAAAGTTTTCTAGCGTACATGTAACAAAATTTTCACCGTACAAATATATCATTTTATTCAAATCATGTGTTGTTCATGGAAGACAATTCTCTCATTATAAATTGGTGAATCTTGATGTAAGGACTAAATTGAAACTCAATTAAAACTCTACGGACTTCATTGCAATTGGAACTTCAAGAACCAAATAGGAATTAGGTGCATACTTTAAGGCTGTAAATTGTAGTTTACTTTTTTTTTTAAATTCAATATGAGGAGCATGTTGCTTGATATTCGTGTTTTTCTGCAGTCATTCACACATGTATCTGTTTCTAATGTATGACTGGTATATGAAGTGCATGCACCATTTCCCTTTTTTCTGTTGTAAGAATTAAGATGTGCAGTAACAAATATATAACTTTTGTGGTGGCATGAGGATAACAATATAGAGTCAAGGTGATCTCCTGTTACGGTCTTTTTTTTTTTAAGATCGGATATAAGACCAAAAGATTGCATATGTTCAAAATGTTGTATTGTATTTATCGTGAGATTTCTTTTCTCTATAGACTTTCTAGCCCTCATTTTGGCAACAAAGTGAGACAAACATACAATGGGAGTGACTGAGGCCTGCCTATATAAGAAAGAAACTCATACCTTAGTTTTTTAGTCGCACAAATCTGTTCATGCCACTTATTTGTTTCCCATAAATTATTGTATGGTTGCAGAATAGGAATATGGGTCCATTCCGATGGCTGAAGGTGTACAGCTGCAAATTGGTTCTTGCTTCTATGGGAAAGGTACTCTGTTTATATGTGGGATTCTTGAGAACTATAACTGTTTTTTCAATTGGTTTGACGAGATAATTGCGAGTTTAGTCGTGCTTTGCCTCTGCTGCATGTGCCAATTGCACCTGGAAAGAATTGTTACTGGGAGGGAGGCTCATGATTTGTTGGAACTTCAAGAGAATTTTATTTTCTTCACTCTCCCCTCAGAATGTTTCTGGGAAAGTTTAACCCCTGTTGTAGTAACTGAACAGTGAACAGTGAACAGCGAACAGCTACTCTTAAGAATACAATTGCTAGAGGTTTTCATTGCTTGATGGAAGTTGGTTTTCTTGTGGTAGAAACAGTTTATATTATTGTGGTAATAATTTAAAAATGAATGTATGTACAGTGCAACTGTACATACTTAAATTGCCACTTTGAGCCTGTACTTCGATAAACTACTTGGCTGAGTTTTTTTTTTTTTTTGGGGGGGGGGGGGGGTTGTGGAATTGAATATCTTGCTACTTCATGGGTTTCTTTTGGTTGGAAAGAAAGAACGAGTCATTTCTAGTGTGTTGAATCTGCTGCTTGTGGACAAACAAGGGTAATGAAGAAATATTTATTCTATAAAATAATCAATGGTCAAAGTTTCATTTCGGTGACCGAAAGCGGAAGCAATTCGAATATGTTTTGAAACCATTTTGAAATAGAATTAAAATAGAAAGAAAATTTAAAATTTTGTTGTCGAAATCCCTTGGAAATTCTTCGATATTCAATTATTGGTTTGTTTTGGTTTTCATAGAAACAAAATATTTGGGCTGTTTCAAAATGAAATTTTAGTCCTTGTGAAAGGCTTCCCAGACTTGGTCTACTTCTGTATTTCCACTACAAGCTGATATATTCATGACTGCCATTTGCTTCTTTGGTGCTTTTCTGGCCCAAAGGAAACAAGTAATAAACAAGAGAATAACAACACTCCTCTCATCTCAAATGTTTGGTTTCTTGAAAAACCCTAGAGGACTGGAGTTCGATTCTGCTCATAAGGTCGTCCATAGGAATTTATCTTGGTAATTGTCCATTATATTACATGTCGAATTGTGTATAAGAGGATTACTTGCAGTGCTCGTAAAGACCCAAATCTATCTCAAGTAGTCAAGTTTTTCAACCAGCAGCCTCTCCTATAATATTTTTGTTAGCGATTCCTTTCTTAGGAATAGGTGGTTGTTACTAGTTGATAGTTTTGCTTTCATCTTCATTATTTTATCTTTTTTTAATTGATATTGTAAAATAGGTCTAGTTACGCGTCGTGATTGCAATGCAAACTTCATAAGTATGCAATTACCAATAAAACATGAGCATTGAACAAACTGTGGCAAAAAGTCAAACTTAGATGTATAGTAATACATAAATGCACAAGTATACTTGCAACCCAACTTAAATTGTAACAAGATGAATTATAAATTTAGACATCCTGAATTTAAATTTTAACAAACTTTTGGGATCAGTTCACAAGGAATT